TTTATTTATATCCCGCCTATCTAGCCAACTCAGGACCACTCTAGGCGGCTCACAATCATCAAAAAATATTACATTTTAAGTGATGTTATTAGTTTGATCGTGTTGGATTTTGTTCTGTATGTTACCGTCAGTGCTTCGTCAATAAAGTGACTGGTAAACAAAGAAGCACACAAAGAAAAACACGTACAGCTAAAATGTCAGGTATATTTTGGACCTTTCATTCCACGATGGCATTAATTGCTCTTCTTTTGACGTTACTCTGACTGTTCTCACTTAAAATACCACGCAGATTATGTCCTTTCTGACGGCATCCTTCAGGAACAAGTGTCTACATCCTTCATGAATGCCACGAGAAAGACACGGACTTCTATTCTTTCCCGGAAGGGCATTTAAATGGATATTGCACTTGTGATTCCCCTCCGCCCCCGATCGTTCTCAGTCTGCGTCTGGAGAAACGTGGGTTTTTCAAGTGCTTCCGTGCGGACCGCGAAGCGGATTCATTGCGCGGTCGGGGTGTTTCCGGACGTCGAGCGTAGCCCGCAACAGTCGCGAAGTTGAAAGCCCTCTCTGCCTCTTGCCATGCAATTTTGCTGGCATGAGATAAAGAGCGGAGACGGGAAGAAGGAAAACAGACGGCCACAGATCGGAAAAGAGCCACGTGATGGCTTGTGGTAACTCAGGAGAACAGGCACAAGTTGGAGGGGCGGCGACGCAGCGGTGATGAGGGAGGAGTCAGCCCACGGAGTCTCCTCCTTGCCGTCTACTTCGTGCCGCTGGAGGTGTGACAGCCGAGAGCTCTACAGCTGACAGGCGGAGAGCGCGCAAGACTCGCGTGGACTGGCGACAGCAGCAAGTCGTGTCCCCCTTCCCTCGCCATGCAAGCAGCCCCTACCGGTCCGAGGGGAGGTGGCCTCTTCCGTACCTCCACCACTGCCCTCCGTGGCCACCGAGAAGGCGGTAACGCAGACGGCGTCGAGGATGATTGACTGAGCCTTCGCCGCCGGACTGCGGAACAAAGGAACTCCCGCCGAAGACGAAAAAGCGGCGCGGGGAGCCCGAGGCGCGCTCCTTCCCCGCTTGAGAGCGAGAGGCTGAGCGCTTCGCCCTGGAGCCTGACGGCAGGACTTCCAGCGTGCTTCTCCCAGTCCCCTTTCCTTTTCTGCTCAGACGGGCGCAGAGAAGGGCCGAGAGGACCAGTTTCCCCCTTGCCATGGCGCTTGGCGGCGCGGGGGAAGTGGGGCTCCCTCGTGTGCCGAGGGTCGCCTAGTGAACCAGCCGCCTTTGCGGGAGAAGAGGAGGGGGACTTCTTTTTCTCTCAGATGAGTTTGAGGCGCTTTAGGGGACGCTGTCTCTGCCTTACCGGCGGCCGGTCCGCTGCTTCCGCAGGAATGCGGATGGCCTCCTTCAAGCCCCCCAAATAGCCCGCCCAAGCGCAACACTCCATGCCGCGCGCCTCCGCCTGAGGGATGCTTTCCAACTCCGGGGCAGCTTTTTGACGTGAGCTGGTGCGGGTCCCCTTTCTAACGGGGAAAGGAAGAACCGCTTCCCGCCTGTCCCCTCCAGAGGGCGCTCTGTTTTCCGAGGCGGGGGGGGGCCGCTCGCGCCAGCTCCACGAGGCTTTTCTCCCGCCATGGCCTTCACTTTTGCTGCTTTCTGCTACATGCTCTCCTTGGTTCTTTGCGCCGCCCTCATCTTCTTCGCTATCTGGCATGTGAGTAGACCCTCCTCCTCCCCCGTTCCTACCCAACTTTCTAGCCCTTTCATTCCCATCGGCTTGGGTTTATGCATTCCTCTAGCCTTCCCAGGAACGCTTCAAGCCATTACGCCTTCACACTTTCTTTTTATTGTCTTTTTTTTAATTGCTAGGTTTTGGGGGACAGGCTTCTGGGATGTTCTGCTGTATGTGCTCAGCTAACGACTACAGAGTGGGCAAAAATCATTTACTGAAATAAAAATCTCAGAATACCTAGCCAGTCAAAAAATGTAACTTCCCTAAGCTCTGCTTGTTCAACTTTGGATACCGCAAACCTTTTCCTGGATGAGTGTGAGGACGGTGTGCTGCCCTGCCTCAGACAGCAAGATGATTTGAGCTGGTCCTGGATGTGTGTTCAAACGTCCCCTTTTGTTCAGTGAAATGTGTGAGGTGGGGAGTGGCAGTGCATCTGTTTCTCCTTATGCTTGTGCATTTGTTCAGATCCAGTGTGAATAGATCTGTGCATAGAGATATGTGCTCATACAGGTTCTCAGGGTGGAAGTGAATCCTGTCCAATCCTGGTTCACATTCTCACAGATGAATCACCCTTTGCTCCCTCCTTTCACACCAATGCTCGAAGAGTGGTACAGTAGCAAGTGCATGTTATTGGCCAGCCTGTTTGATTGCCTGGTCCTAATATGCATTAATTGAATGTGTGGGTTGGAGGAGAGAGATTCTGAACTACCTGTCATGGATTCAAGAATAAGTGCTGTACAGTACTTGAATGTGTGAGCTGACACATACATAAACTAGGTTTATTTTCAGTGGCTGCCTCATGATTTTGGTGGCTTTTTTGTTTTGTTTTGTTTTTCTTTTTTGTTTTGTTATGACTAATTGGGTGTATACTTAGTCAAGCAAGTTATTAATCTAGATTGGCCATTCTTAATGGGAGGGGGCATATGGTTCCCTGGGGGACCATGGCACATTTGAAGGGGACCACAAACTGGAAACATTCACACAAAACCTTGTAAGCCAAGGTGTATTATATGACTTACACAATCGTGATTTGGCCTATATTTCTTTCTTATTGTGTTTTATGGCCATGGCCATAAAAAGGTTGAGAGTGGCTGATCTAGATAGTAGTAATAAGGAACAAAGTATGACACACATTTGAAAGAATGAGTGGGCAGTTGTAAGATGTGTGTTAAAACTGAAACATTTCCTAATCTTGGGATTTTAGTCCAAATTTGATGGAAGCTATCCAGAGTGCTGAAGCCTATCCCCTAAACAGACTCAGCACCCAGAATACCTCCTTTAAACTGCAGACAAAACCCCAGAGAGGAGGACACAGCACCCCTGCAAAGTCAAAGTCAATAACTTCCCTAGATCTCCACTGAGCCAGGAATGTGATTTTGGCCAGGTATTATCTTCCAAACTAACCTACTTGAAGGGTTTTGTGAACTTAAAAGAGGGTGGGGGAGATAGGATGCGTATATCCTTTTAGTGTTCCCGGACTAAGTTTGCACAGTACATTTATTTTTTAAGAGGCCACACCGTGTTCTCTGCCACAACTTGGCCTTCTTCTATAGTAGAAACCCTCCAGAAATATTAATAAAAACAAGACTTGGTATTTGATAGGAGCTTCCTCTATTTTTGATGTGTATTCAGTTAGACAAAATTAGACAAAGTCTTAAAGTGGTTAACAAAACAAAGCGAGGCATGTTTTCATGTGCAGTCCATGATAACATTCATTCATGGGAAATTACATTTGACAAAGATTTAAGGGGAAAAGCCCCAACCAGCCTGTATCAATTGGATTTGCTGCAAAAGACATTTTTTCCTCAAATGCATCAATAGCAAAGCCGGAACATTTCTTGAGTCCACCTTTTTTGGTACTTCTTAAGACAACCAAACCATTGGAAACAGCTGGCCATCAGGGTTTCTTATCTTTAAAAAACCCAGGAACATAGGTTCCAAACTATCACAGGATCCTGTTTTGAATGGCCAAGGTACCAGAAAGTCTTGCTCATCAGATTTATCTTCCTGAAAATACACATACATGTGTACTACTAATTGATGAGATGTTGTTTCTGAGGGCTAAGCCATTAGAGGCTTTTGCCTCAAAGGAACACTACATGAGTAATTCCCTTCCTGTCTCATATAATTTCTTTCATTTACTTTGAGAACAGCCCTATTGATGGAAACATCAGCTAGAGGGAGGATAGAAGAATTTAGATCATAAAAATGAGCAGCAGAGATTAATCCCCCCATTCCGCCAACACTGTGGTCCTGATCTAATTCCCCTTGGCTGGTTTAAAAAAAGAAAAAACCCAAGAGATGTAACTACTGTCTTCCAATCTTTTGTCTAGTTTGGTCCTCATACCAAATATTATGACCTTAATAATTATGTATCAACATTTGATGGGATGTGGCTTTTGATAGCCCAACTAACTGGCCACCACAAATCCTTGCCCATCTAAATCTCTTCCCTGAACAGCTACGTAATTATAAAAACATAAGAAGAGCCCTGCTGGATCAGGCCAAGGACCCATCTATTCCTGCTTCCTATATCTCACAGTGGCCCCACCAGATGCCTCTGGGAACACACGAGACAACTACATATCTGTCTCCTGATATTCCTCTCCTGCATCTGGCATTTGGAGGTACCTTCCTTCTAAGCCAGGAGATTATACATCGCCACCATGGCTTGTAATCTGTGATGGACTTCTCCTCTAGAAATCTGTCCAATCTCCTTTTAAAGGCATCTAGGCCAGATGCCATCACCACATCCTGTGGCAAGGAGTTCCACAGACTAACAACACGGTGAATAAATAAATATTTTCTCTTGTCTGTTCTCGCTCTCCCAACACTCAATTGGAGTGGATCTCCCCTGGTTCTAATATTGTGTGAGAGGGAAAAGTGCTTCCCTATATCCGCTTTACCCATCCCCTGCAAAATATTATCAGCGTGGCACTGTTCTTGATAAACTGCTTTTCATTATATTTTTAGTCATTATCTCCACAATACCAGTTGGCAGTTACCCATGCAGATGTCCAGAGTTTTGGCTGGCTTTGTTAACCAGCCCAACAGATTTAGTCGTCAACACAGTTGGAAGCTTGGGAAGATGGTAAGCTGCTGGCCATGGCTTCCTGATAGTGCTTTTAGCATGCACTCTAATCAAAACCCCAGAATGTTCCCTTAACTGAAGCCTATGGAGGACCTGGATAATATTGTCTTCAGTTTGCAAGTTTCCCTTGTTTTCTTTTTTGTTCTTCCATCTTTTTTCTTACAAAAAAATGCTTACGGAAAAAAGATGCAACAGCCACACAACACCTTCATTCTAACAGCATTCTGAGTGCCTTAGTAATATGCTCCACCTAAATATGTTTCTGCTGTCTCTGAGCAGTTCAGGAAGAAACTGTTATTACAGATAATGAAATAAAATTGGTTCCACTTAGAGTGACAACTAGGGTAAAGTGAGGGGGGTCTTGACCCAGCTGGCCAAAATATAGAGAGTGTAAACAGCTGCTGCTAGAAGGATGTGCACCTGCCCATTGGTGTTTGCTGCTCAAGGGGCATGAAAATGCATGTCCTAAGGGCTTATGCCACCTCTAGCTGCTCCTCTCTAGGCAGAAGGATATATGAAATAGGCATACTCAGCACAGAACTGATGGTTCTTGTGTTCTTGGTCCTAGGCCTTCCTCCACAACTGATAAGACAACAAAACTCTGGATGTCAAAATTGCTATACATGCCTCTGCTTCTGTTCCAAGCCTTCTTCCTTACTTCAGAGCTGGTGACAGCAGGATCAAGATACACCTCCTGGCTGTGCATCTCTGTAGTGCATCTTTTGTTCTGCATGGCAGCAGAGTGCGCACAAACATTGTGACATTTTCAACAAGCTTGATTCCTTGCTGTTGCTTGGTTTGGTGAAATGAGTAGCCAGGTTCACAAAGATCAATATTTATTTATTTAATATTTTACCCTTCCTTTCTCCCCAAAAAGGACTCAAGATGGCTTACAACATTGAAAGACAATATTTAAAGTTGAAAGCAATGAGTAGACAATGATGGTTAGCATAATTAAAAGGCAGTATTTAAAGTTAAGCACAATGAATCAAAGCAATATGTTTAACAAAAAACATGGATAGAATTTCAATACATATGATTTGTCTGAGTTGTGTCATAATACCTGTTATTCTCCTGGTCCTCATGGACTGTAGTAATTTGCTCTCAAGAAACTCTACACATTGTCAGAACTTATTTCCCCAGCTTTCCAGGACTGAACCATAACATTTTATTTGTGTTCTGGTGCTAAATTGTGATGAGCTGTGTCTCAAATGAAAGCCTTTTATTTGTTCATATGTTGCTTTTATGGGAGCACAAGCAGCTTTACTTTTGCAGTGGGGTTCAGTGCATGTACTCATGTCTTTAAAAATGTCAGACAGCTAAAGCATGTGTTCTCTGACCTTTAAAAACCTTCACTATTTTTCACATTTCATTTCCATATATTTGGTTTATGAAGAATAGGCATGGCTATATAGGGCATCATGGTAATCTGCACATTTCAGTGTGAAGACACCTGTGCTTAAAGAATATAATGTAGCAGTTAATCTGTATGTTTGAGTATAATATATTGATTATATTATATATAATAATATATATTATTTCTTCCTGAATAATCATCTTTGTATTCAAATACATGCACAAATACCAACACACAAAGACACTTAAACAGAGGGAAAGAAAAGTAATCAATAGATCTTGATTATGATTCAATATTTATTTCTTTTTACCCTGAGAGCAAATGATGTTGGTGTACAAATCTGATGGCATGAGAGTCATATCATCAAATGTAGGTATGTATAGTATGTGTTCAGTTGAAAGAGTTTCTGGTATATATAAAATTTTGACTCCCCCCCCCAAATACATTTAGAACAACAGTTTGTACTTGTCTGTGTTTTGTGTAATCAACTCAGAACTGAAACTTAAGTGAGATATATAAAGAGTGAATTTACTA